AAATATAAAATAAATAAAAATAAAATCTGACAAATATGTATACTCTACTTATCAATTAGTCATATAGCATACAATATATATTTTCAATTTCAGTTCTCTTAACAAGAATGGAATACCAATGGAATGGAATAATATGGAATAAATATAGTTATGGAATAAATATTGTTAATTCAAAAACTCGTGTCCAGATCAGGATGTATATATATGTAACATGTCTGATTAGAAACAGATAGTAAGTGCCTAGTACAATTATATAATAAGCACAATTGATTGTTATAATTTGTTTATATATTTTATGCATGTATGTTTTAAGTGCCTCATAAACCGGCGATATCTGCTAGAAAATACACCTTACCCGCCTTGAGTAATTTGCAAATGATAAGGTTATTTAATATGTAATCGATTGTGTTAGCAATTAATACGGCAGACAGAAAGAGAGAGTGAGCGAGTGGTATTCAGAGAGATAGAGATAGAGAAATCGCGCTCCCTATATTGTTAATTCAAAAACGAATGATGACATGGCTAATAATGATTAAATTGTGCGAGTCGTCATAAGCTCCATTCAATTTGAAAAACCATTGGAGTAATTCTAATTTTTATGAATTGGCTATAAAAATCGATTAATCAAAATAATGGCAGATTTTAAGCCACTGGCATTTAAAATCTACTCTTCATTTGATCTATTCATATTCATGGCATTACTCTTTCCTTTGCGTACTCTTACCTTATTCATAGCCCAATAAATTGATAAGCTCTATCAAAAATGAACCGATATCAACTAATGTTTTATTTCGCAGGTCTGCGCTTCAAATATAAGCCCATATGCTTTAACCAATTTCATTAGTCTCTTTCTAACAGTTGTCCTATTTAGTTCGTGTTTTCGAGAATAACAGAAATTTAACCAAACTGAAAAGAAAGTGTTCAATAGCCCATCAAAATGACTGAGTCTAACGGCAATGTGTATAAAACGAATATTGTTTTGGCTGACTCCTTTGCTGAGAAAGAGAAGGAACGCAAAAGCTTGTGAGTTGAATGAAATGTACTTTGAACTTCATATAAAAGGAACAAATAAGTTAAAGCTTTTAAGCGAAGAGCCCTGCTACAATTTTCTGCAAATTAGGATAAAAAAATAAAAACAAAGGCAAAGTTCTTAGTTGATTGTGACTCTGTGACTCAAATAATATTTATTGTCTAAAATAGTTATGGGAAAATAATAAATTCCAATGAGACTATACCAAAGGGACATAATTATAAAAATTCAATTTATCAATTTGTGAATTTAAGAATATATTCATAAAAAAAGTAAATATATTCATAAAAAAATAAAAATATATATGTATATTTATATAATAATTACTTGATGTATTTTTACTTTATAAACCTATGTATCTATCTATATATTTAATTTTCATAGAAAATTTGCTTAAAGATTTTAATTTTCCTCCACTTTCTTTTAGTCAATACTTGATAATTTTTGCTTTAAAAAGTTTGTTTCTAGTTTTCTGTTCTCAGAAAAAAAAAAACAAATCATTTATTTTAACTAGTTGTAATAGTGAATAGCATATTTATTTGATTATTTAAATATTTTCTTTTCCTTTTTAATTTAATTTTCTATTTATACTATAATGCATACATATATTAATTATATATTAATGCATATCAATATAAATCAATCTAGTATCTATAATCACATATTCTGTGTATACGCAATTTATCCTCCTTTGATAGGTCTATGAAAATTTCGGTAACCATGATCGTGCAGTTTTTTAACAACGAAGCGTGCGCAATATTTCGCGCTCGAGCGCCATAAATTTTAGTACTCTAATGGCAGTTAAAACAACAAAGAGAACGTATATGTATATATATTTGAGCTATTGTAGGAACCAAGTGCTGCCTGGGAATCTTGTGGTACGAACTATGATGACGAATTCGATTTGAATGAATGATACAAAGTGTTAGACTCGGGCTAATAGTGGGAATCAACGCGACCACTTCGACAGCCTTGACTGGTGCTAGGGTTAGCGATAAGGAATGTGCGATTCGTCTAAGATAGAAGGTGGCATGCGAACGGCTGTTACGCTCCCCATTTATAACTCGGATTGTTTTATTTAAGTTTACTTATGAAATGGCACGTGCTTTGCGTATGATTGCAGTGAGCCAAATAAAACGAAAAAGAAATCGAAGAAGCAGGATAAAGATGAGAAAGAGGACAAACCGAAGGATGATGTCAAGCCAGTCGGGTTCTTTACAATGTTTCGCTATGCAACGAAGAAGGATCGCATACTGTACATTCTCGGACTGCTCGGCGCTGTAGCCACGGGCCTGACAACACCAGCGAACAGTTTGATCTTTGGAAATCTCGCTGATGTGAGTATATTTATATATCTAAAAAGCTTCCATATTTATATGTTTTATTTGCGATTGAGTCAGAGCTCTTCCGATTGGCTGACTGAAACTTGTTTACTTTGTCTACACCCGATTGATGGTTAGATAAGAAAACAAGTCTGATAGCAGTAGTCTGGAGTGCTTGACCAGCAAATACCCTAGCGAATTTTCGCAATTTGTTCCTACGAACTTTCATATATATACTCGAAATCTGTCTTGTCATTACGAGTATATATACTTTATGTTCTCTGCCTTCTTCCTTCCGCCAGTCCATTTTTAGAAAACAATTGAAGTCCTGAAGTCCCATGCCTAATATTTCTAATGAATATTATTTAATCATACATCTTAGCCAAAGCAATATACCCGAAATTTAAATTTTCAATTTCAAGTTCAGGGTATAAGCACAACAGAAAGTGCTTTGAAGTGTTTACCAATTGAAAGTAGCCACATACATAGCTCTATCTTGCCAGTCCTTACCCACTAAACCGATATATCTTTTCATACACTTTGGGCTCTTAGGACATGATTAGCATGAGTGGTACCCTGGAGAGGAATGTCTATGTAAAGGATGCCGCATCGGACATGCTGCTGGATGCGGTGCAGGATTTTTCGCTGAACAACACGTATATCGGAATTGTAATGCTGGTCTGCAGTTACATATCCGTCACGTCCTTCAACTATGCTGCCCACTCCCAGATTTTGGCCATTCGCTCCAAGTTCTTTCAGTCTGTGCTGCATCAGGATATGACCTGGTACGACATGAATCCCAGCGGCGAGGTGGCCAGTCGCATGAATGAGTAAGTAGAGCAAATCATTTCAGTCATTCAGATTCTTTTTAATCCTCTTCAATCCCGCAGAGATTTATCGAAAATGGAGGACGGCCTGGGCGAGAAGGTTGTGATCTTTGTGAACTTCATCGTGGGCTTCGTTGGGTCCGTGGTGCTGGCATTTTACAAGGGCTGGCAGCTCTCGCTTGTCTGCCTGACCAGTTTGCCCGTCACCTTCATTGCCATGGGCTTCGTATCCATCGCCACATCCAAGCTGGCCAAACAGGAGGTCAACGTCTATGCCAGCGCCGCCGTTGTTGCCGAGGAGGCTTTATCCGGCATCCGCACCGTCAAGGCCTTTGAGGGCGAAAACAAAGAGGTTTCCGCCTACAAGGAGAAGGTCGTTGCCGCCAAATTACTGAACATTAAGCGAAACATGTTCTCCGGCACCGGCTTTGGCCTTCTGTGGTTCTTCATCTATGCCTCTTATGCTCTAGCATTCTGGTACGGCGTCGGTCTCGTCATCAAGGGCCGCCACGATGAATACTACGAGAACTACTCGCCAGGCACCATGATCACCATCTTCTTCTCGATCATGATGGGCTCCATGAACATTGGCATGGCCGCGCCGTATATTGAAGCATTTGGCATTGCCAAGGGCGCCTGTGCCAAGGTCTTCAAAATCATTGAGCAGATCCCAACCATCAATCCGATAGAGCCGCGCGGCAAGAATCTCAATGAACCGCTGAACACCATCGAGTTCCGCGACGTCGAGTTCCAGTATCCCACGCGCAAAGAGATTCCCATTCTGCAGAAGCTCAACCTGAAGATTCATCGCGGCCAGACGGTGGCCCTAGTCGGGCCGTCGGGCTGTGGCAAATCTACTTGCATACAGCTGATACAGCGCTTCTATGATCCTAAGGCCGGCGACGTGCTCTTCAATGGCATAAACATCAAGGATATCAATATCAAGTGGCTGCGCGAGCGCATCGGAGTCGTGGGACAGGAGCCTGTGCTCTTTGGCCAGTCCATATACGAGAATATACGCTATGGTCGCGAGGATGCCACCAAGGAGGATATTGAGGCTGCTGCCGCAGCAGCCAATGCGGCCATATTCATCAAGAAGCTGCCCAAGGGCTACGATACGTTGGTGGGTGAGCGTGGAGCCCAGCTGTCTGGCGGACAGAAGCAACGCATTGCCATTGCTCGCGCTCTGATTCGTGACCCGGAGATTCTGTTACTGGACGAGGCGACCTCGGCTCTCGACACTGCCAGCGAGGCTAAGGTGCAGGCCGCCCTGGAGAAGGTGAGCCAGGGGCGCACCACCATCATTGTGGCCCATCGTCTGTCCACCGTACGCCGTGCCGACAAGATTGTGGTGATCAACAAGGGCGTGGTTGTCGAGGCCGGCACCCATCAGGAGCTGATGGCCATAAAGAATCACTACTTCAATCTGGTGACCACACAGATGGGCGAGGAAGATGACGGCATGCTCAGTCCCACTGGCAATATACTCAAGAACTTCGATGTTAAGGATGAGGACGAACAGGAAATTAAGGTACTTGAAGAGGAGGAGGACATCGACGACGCAGTAGATAAAACAGATAAAAAGAAAAAGAAGAAGAAGAACAAGGGAGATAAAGAACCCTCGCCCATGCGAGGCGTCTTGCAGCTAAATAAACCCGAATGGCTTCATCTTGGAATCGGTTGCGTGTGCTCCATCATCATGGGCTGTGCCATGCCCATTTTCGCTGTACTCTTCGGCAGCATACTCGACGTGATGCGTTCCGAGGACGATGATTACGTACGGGAGAACACCAACCAGTACAGTCTGTTCTTCCTGATCTGCGGCATTGTCGTCGGCATCTCCACCTTCATGCAAATCTATCTCTTTGGTGTGGCCGGCGAGAATCTGACGGAGCGTCTGCGTGGCCTGGTCTTCAGTGCAATGCTCAAGCAGGAGGTGTCCTGGTTCGATGATCGTTCCAATGGCACGGGCAGTCTCTGCGCCCGTCTATCCGGCGATGCAGCCGCCGTACAGGGTGTAAGTACTACAAATACTGTGGAATTTGTGTAACTCTTTTAATTTCATCTATCTCTATACCTCTATTTATATATGTAGGCAACTGGTCAGCGTATTGGCAGCATTATTCAATCGGTTGCCACTGTGGTATTGGGCATCGCCCTGGCCATGTACTATGAGTGGAGCCTGGGTCTGGTAGCCATAGCGTTTATGCCCTTCATACTGATTTCCATGTATTTGCAACGCATTGTCATGGAGCAGGAGAATATGGGCAATGCCAAGATCATGGAGAACACAACAAAGCTGGCCGCTGAGGTGGTCTCCAATATTCGCACCGTCGTGTCTCTGGCGCGCGAGGACATGTTCCATCGGACCTACATTGAGTTACTCACACCAGCCGTTGTGGTAAGCAGCCTAAGATTAACTATGATCCTAGATATCCCCAAATGAAATCAGCTCTTAATTTGACCACGTTCTGAGTTCAGGGTATCTCCTAGTCGGATAGCGTTTTCTTACCAGTTTTCCCTCGTTATTCTTTTAGAAATCGAAAAGGAATACGCACTATCGTGGCTTAGTCTATGGTCTGGCCAGATCAATGATGTTCTTCGCCTATGCCGCCTGCATGTACTACGGCGCCTGGTGCGTGGTCAATCGCGGTCTACAAATGGGCAATGTATTCAAGTAAGCAAAGCTAAAGTCTAAAACAAAGTCGAGTCAATTAACGATTCTTTTTTCGTTTACAGGGTATCACAGGCCTTGATCATGGGCACTGCTTCCATTGCCAGCGCCTTGGCATTTGCGCCCAATATGCAGAAGGGCATTACAGCGGCGCAGAGTATTTTGAAATTCCTGGAGCGAAAGCCACTGATTGCCGACAGTCCGGGCGTCTCTCTGGAGCCCTGGCATTCCAATGGCAACGTCATGTTCGACAAGGTGGAGTTCACCTATCCGACGCGTCGCGAGGTGCAGGTGCTGCGCGAGCTTATTATGCGTGTGCAAGCTGGCCAGAAAGTGGCGCTAGTCGGTCCCTCAGGCTGTGGCAAATCCACGTGCATTCAGCTGCTGCAGCGCTTCTACGATGTGGACGCTGGAGCTGTGCTGATCGATGACCGGGACGTTCGTCAGTTGGCCTTGAGCAATCTGCGCATGCAGCTGGGCATCGTGTCCCAGGAGCCCACTCTATTCGATCGCTCCATACGTGAGAACATCGCGTACGGCGACAACACCAGATTAGTCACGGATCAGGAGATTATTGCGGCAGCAAAGAAGTCCAATATACATCAGTTCATTGCCAATTTGCCACTGGTGAGTAGGAGCTCAGATATGCTCTAGGCTGGGTAATAACATTTCATCTATGCTCTATAGGGCTACGAAACGCGCATGGGAGAGAAGGGCACACAATTGTCGGGGGGTCAGAAACAACGCATAGCTATTGCTCGTGCTCTGATCAGAAACCCGAAGATCCTCTTATTGGATGAAGCTACATCCGCTCTGGATGCCGAAAGTGAGAAGGTAAAGTCGAAAAGGAAAATCTAGTTTTAGTTTTGATTATTATTAATATTTATCACTTATTTCTGCAGATCGTTCAAGAAGCATTGGATGCTGCAGCCGAGGGTCGCACCACAATCAGCATAGCCCACAGACTGTCCACCGTCGTCGACTCGGACGTGATCTATGTGTTCGAGAACGGCGTCGTCTGCGAGAGCGGCACCCACAAGGAGCTGCTGGAGGCCCGCGGCCTCTACTCTACATTGTACAAACTGCAAACTGGTTCCATGTAAATATTGACACACGGATCAATCACGGATCACAGAATAACAAATAGCGATCAATGAGAATTACTTGCTTAGGAGCGATTAGTATTAGGCTGCACAAAGAAAAACGAAAGAAAAGCCAGACACATTTAATGTAGATAGTAATATTTTAGCTGTTAAGAAAGTATTTATGAATTTACCGACTTTGTTGGAATTATGTATATAATAAAAAAAAAAAAAATAATAAAAAAATTAAAAAAATTAAGAAAAACAAATAAATAAAGAAAACTAAATATAACAATTATCGATTTCTAGAGTTCCAGGTGCTAAAATATAAAATATTAATATAAAATAAAAACAAACAGAGAGTGAGTCACTCGTGTTTCAGGTGCTACAAACATAACACCTTTCTCCAAGCAATATTTTACGATTATCAAGCGCGTGAAGCATGTGATCGCCTAAAATAAAATAAAAATGATATCAAACAGAATGCGAAATTAAACTTTAAACAAGCAGACTCATTCTCAGTTCCAGGTGCTAACATACCCTCCCTATGTTTAGCAAAGTTGAAAGATTATTAAACATGTGATCCCTTACCTATAATCAATGATAACTCTAATTTCGTCATTAAAATAGTCTAGCTTGTTAAATGACCAATAGCATTATAGGAAGCAATATCAACCATATCAATCATTCGATTACACTTCCTTACGTAAATGCTCGCAGCTACATGTATACAAATATGTATATTATATTGGTATAATTTGATAAGTCAATCGATAGATATGAATATATAAAAGCCTTATCCGAGTATTCCGCCGGCGTAAGCTAAAGCTGATAAAGAATGTCACAAATTCTTTTTCATTTTACAATCAAACACAAAGCAATTATTTATAGCAGATGTCATGCGTGCTTAAAATAATATAATAATAATAATAATCTAATACACAATTTGCAATTTAAGAAATCTATGCACACACTTAGCAATCTCATACATAAATAAATAAAAAGATCTCAAAATGCTTCAGTTTGTAAATAATATATTATTGTTCACGTATATTTAAAGTTTACAAATGTAAAGAGACTATGTAATTGCATTTTACCCAGTCAATTCTTTTTATTTTTGGTTTTCCACTGGAAACCAAAGACAAATTTTGCTTAAATTATAACTTTCGATCTGCCAACGGGTGACATCTTATCTCATGTGGACTCTGTAGGATTTGGGCTTGTGCTGCTGTGCTCGTTATTGTACAACTACAACTAGTTTAAAATAAACGTAAGGTAAAAGTAAGGAAAATCTTACAGTAGGCACACAAACAACACAACTCTCCGTCACGCCACAGATTTACAATAGATTTCGATCCAGACATTGAGTAGTGCATTATAAACAATAAAAACTTAATGCAACTGATTTTGACTGAGTTGTGATCGTATGTCGTTGATGTTTGCATCTCGTAGGTTGTTAATGTCCACACATATTACTACACAATTTGGGTAAATGCTTTTTGCTTATGAATGATCGGGATCATTTTATATGATTTAGAAGAATCAGGAATATGATGGGCTTTGTTTTGTTTAACGTACAACTTAATCCGAATCCAAGTGTGATTATTATGAAATAAGAGAACAACAACTACGACTATGGTTGCCTAATTTAGTTCTTCTCCTCCTTCTTGGCGTCGCCGGAAGAATCGGCCGAACTGCTGCTGCTGCCGGAGGCGGCGCCGCCTGAGCTGCTCTCGCGTTCGGCGGACATCTGTTATACAATTCATTAATTTCAATTAATAAAATATACTAAATATGTATTAGTTTTGCTAATTAGCCTACCTTCTTGTATGCCATCTCGAAGAGCTTCAATGAGGACTGCTGCAGTTGGTTGGTGGCTTTCCTCACCTCCTCTGGATCAGCGGTCTCCTTGTTGGCCAGCAGAGTGCGCAGATCAGCAATTTCCTTCTTCATTTTTTCGCACTATAATAAATCAAATAAAATGATAGTATTTACACACAAATATATTAATTCGATTTACGTACTTCTTCAGCGGGCAGTTGGCTCTTGAATTCTTCCATTTTGGTCTCTGTGTCGTGCACAATACTCTCGCCCTGGTTAACAATTTCAATCAGTTCACGCTTCTTCTTGTCAGCAGATGCGTATTCCTCAGCCTTCTTAATCATGTTCTCGATCTCATCCTTGCTCAGACCACCGCTCGACTGGATCACAATCTGTTGCTCCTTGCCGGTACCCTTGTCCTTGGCCGACACATGGACAATTCCGTTGGCGTCAATATCGAAGACCACCTCAATTTGGGGCACGCCGCGGGGCGCTGGTGGAATGCCGACCAGTGTGAAGGATCCCAGCAATTTGTTGTCGTTGGCCATCTCACGCTCGCCCTGGTGCACCTTAATCTCCACCTGAGTCTGGCCATCGCTGGCCGTTGAGAATACCTGCGACTTCTTGGTGGGAATGGTCGTATTGCGAGAGATCAGACGTGTGAACACACCTCCCAATGTCTCAATACCCAGCGACAGGGGAGTGACATCGAGCAAGAGCACATCAGTGACATCGCCAGCCAAGACACCGCCCTGGACAGCGGCACCGACGGCAACAGCCTCATCGGGATTAACCGAACGCGAGGGCTGGCGTCCGAATAGTTCCTGCACTGTGGACTGTACCTTGGGCATGCGCGTCATGCCACCGACCAGCAAAACTTCGCCGATTTCAGACTTGGATACCTCAGCATCAGACAATGCCTTCTGGCAAGGCTGAATGGTGCGCTTGATCAGATCTCCGACCAGACTCTCCAGCTTGGAGCGAGTCATTTTCAGGTTCATGTGTTGGGGTCCCGCAGCATCCATGGTCAGATATGGCAAATTGATGTCGGTCTGTTGGGAGGACGACAGCTCGCACTTGGCTTTCTCTGCAGCCTCCTTCAGGCGCTGCATGGCAATATTGTCCTTGCGGATATCAATGCCGCTATCCTTCTTGAATTCGGCCACTAGGAAGTTGACAATGGCATTATCGAAATCCTCTCCGCCCAGCAGAGTGTCACCATTAGTGGACTTTACTTCGAAGACGCCCTTCTGGATTTCCAAAATGGAAATATCAAAGGTACCGCCGCCCAAATCATATACAGCAATACTAGAAGATATTAATATTATATACATTAGTATTAATGTAGCCAAAGCTCAGTGATTTCCTTCACTCACATTTTATCCTCGGTTTTATCCATACCGTAAGCCAGCGCCGCTGCTGTTGGCTCGTTAATCACACGCAGAACATTCAAGCCAGCGATTTGACCAGCATCCTTTGTAGCCTGACGCTGTGAGTCGTTGAAGTAAGCGGGCACCGTGACCACAGCGTTCTTGACTGGTGTGTTGAGGTACGCCTCGGCAGTCTCCTTCATCTTCATCAGAATAAAGGCACCAATTTGGGAGGGCGAGTAAACTTTGCCATCTGTCGCCGATACCCAGGCATCGCCATTGGAAGCCTTAACCACTTTGTAGGACAAATTGGTAATATCTTTCTTAACCTCAGGATCATCAAAGCGGCGTCCAATCAGACGTTTTGTGGCATAGAAAGTGTTGGCTGAATTCGTGACTGCCTGACGCTTGGCCGGCATACCAACCAAACGTTCGCCATCCTTGGTAAACGCAACGTGGGAGGGCGTTGTGCGTGCACCCTCCGCATTCTCAATCACCTTCGCCTGCTTGCCCTCCATCACGGCCACGCAGGAGTTGGTGGTACCCAAATCGATACCAATAACAGCTCCCTTAACTTCGCCAGATCTGAGAGTAACAGAAAAAAAAGCGTGTTAGTGGATGTTTGTAATTCTGATAAGATTGGGTACGCTAAGCGAAATACAAAGAAACATGAGATAAGTCTATAATGGAGATGCTCAGTTCCATTCATCAACAATAAGTTAAGCTGATGTAATTATTCATTAAATTGTGGAAAACAGCTATAGAAGTGTTATGTAACTACAAATTATATATGAAATTGGTTTATCAACCCGCGGAACTGAACTACTAATTAGAATTGAACCACTCTGTTCAGCACTGACAATAACTGCATGTTTGTGTATATATGTATGCATGTCATGTAACAGACATTGCTTATATATATGCCGCATATATTAACAAAATATTTTAAAGACAAATCTACATTGCCCAATAGCAAAATATAATATATTTCAATATATTACTACTTTCGAAAATGTGTATTACATAAGTAGCGGCATATTGTTTTATTTGAGTGTCTTGCCCTGCAATGCGGCAAATCAACATGTGTAATAAATGTTATAGTATCAAAGTTCACTTACTTGTAACGCATCTGACCCGACAATCCATTGAAAACGCCAGGAAGATTCTGTAAATAATCAAAAGTATGTATTTAAAGTGATTGAAATGTAAAAACATTAGGCGGTACATCAATTGCTAGAACATGCCGCACTGACTATTATGTAAAGCTGATTTGTACTTACGCGGAATATGCTAGAAGCTGCCGACATATGCGCTGGGGCTGCAAGGCTGACCTGGCGCGATAGGCGTGGTATGAGCTTGGGTACGCGCAACATTTTCGTATTTTACTTTTTTTTTATTTTACACTTGCACTAATTATCAAATAAAACAGCTGCAAAATGCACCGCTATTGAGTCGAAAATTTCGTCAGAGCGAACCACGAGCACGTTTCCCTTACGAGGGCTGGATAAAGACGACAGTCAAAGATGTGAGCAGCCCACAAAATAATCGGTTTGTGGTGGAACTGAAACAAAATACGCAGAGTTGCATTAAGTGTTCGGCTACGGTGCTGCCAACGCTTTTGAGTGGCAAGTGTACGTGTGATTTCTTCAAATTATTTACAAAGCTTTTCAGAATTGATTTGAAATTTGTGTATTTAATAATTCGGCTATACAAACTGTATTAGCTGATATGTGAATAGACTTGTTTATGACATTAGTTGCTCGGCATCTCCAATAGATCTGTCCGAGGCACCCTGTGTATGTGAGGATTTCCCAGCGTTTCGTGTTCCATCACACGTGTTGTTATTATTGCGTAAAGTAGTATAAAAAAAAATCGTTTCAAAATTTTCACCAAAATTGAATAATAAATCGTCGGTTCGACCGATGCTGCTTATGCCGTTATTGTACAGCCGGTACTTTAGACACTCTGAGCGTAATCTGTCGATTGTCTAACTTTCAAATTCGGCGTTATGGCATCGGACAACGAATCCGACGCCGAACTCGATGAAAACTACTACACATTTCTCAATTTGCCGCGAGATGTAAGTGCATTCTAATTAAATATATCTATTGGTACTTCTAATACATCACCTTTCACCAGGCCACGCCGGAGCAAATTAATACCGCGTACCGGAAGCAAAGTCGCATTTACCATCCGGACAAGCATATGGACCCGGAGAGCAAAAAGAAGGCAGAAATCATGTTTAACCGAACGAAACGTGCCTATGAGGTTCTTTCCGATCCACACCAGCGTGCGATTTACGATTCAGTAGGCGAAAAGGGTCTAAAAACAGAGGGCTGGGAAATCGTACACCGGACAAAGACACCGGCAGAGATACGGGAGGAGTACGAGCGTTTAGCTCAGGCCGCTGCCGAGCGCCGGCTGCAACAGCGCACCAATCCACGTGGCAACATCACTGTCAATGTGAATGCTACCGAAATATTTACGCCCTACGATGATACAGAGATGCCACGTGTGGAGATCGGCTCAATGAGCATTGCCCAATCCATTGAAGCGCCGATAACACGCAAGGACATGATCATCATGAGTGGCAATCTGTACTCGTCCAATGGCACCGGCACAGGGGGCTTTATGGTTGCCGGCCGGCGACTGCTCAACAAAGGTTGGTTGGAGGTTTGCCTTGGTGCCGGCAATGGCTTCCTGTTGGGTCTCAAGGGTAAGCGATTGGGATTATTGTGCAACCTTAAATAGTATATGCGTAATGTCAACAGGTGGGCGCACGCTGACATCGAAGCTAACGCTGAATGGCGGCACCAATATGAATTTCCAGGAAAATGGTGTAATACCCGTTGTGTTTTCCACATTAGCCGTCCAACTGGACAAGCACACCGTAGGCAGCCTGACGCTTAATGCCGGACCGCAGTCATCCATGACCACGCAGGTCGATCACTCCAATGATCAGCATGCCATAAGCACGTCCTTTGTGATAGGCACCCCACACATGTACTTTGGCGTCTCCTATACCCGAAAAATGCTTGAGAACGAGATGAAGCTGAAATTGGCCACCAAGTGAGCATGAACTGGATTAGGCTAATTAATAATTTGCATTAATTCATCTCTGGCTGACATTTTCAGAGTGGGCACATTTGGATTCCTGGGCGAATACGGCGTGGAGAAAAAAGTTTCGAAATACAGTTCGCTGATAGCAACCGTTTCCATAGGCGTGCCTTCCGGAGTCATACTCAAATTGAAGTGAGTGACCCACCCGTCTGTGCAAAGAGTATTGAACAAAACAAATCATTAATGATTCCAGAATAATACGTTCTAACCAGTCGTATGTGTTTCCAATCCATCTGAGTGACGAAATTGTGCCCGCTGCTGTTTTCTATGCAACAGTGACGCCGATAGTTGCGTGGTTTTTCGTCAAAAAGACCATTATGGATCCCATGGAGGCGGATCGTAAGAGCATCGAAGTGGAGCGGACGAAGCGGCAAAATGAGCAGCGTTTGGCTGCCAAGAAAACAGAGGCAATGGCAGCAATACACTTGATGCAGAGCACCTACAATCGCATCCTCAAAGAGGAGCAGGACCGTCGAGGTCTGATCATCAAGAGAGCGATCTATGGATGCATCAACGAGGGCACCTCACAGTTCAAGCCGGAGGCATCGCATGATGTCACCGTGCCCATTCAGTGTCTAGTCAGGGATGGTACATTGCAGTTGTATGAATCGTCTAAGGTATATTTAATCGAATTTAAATTAATTGCAAAGTAATTTTTATGATATTTATCTACTAATATTTCCATTGCAGTGCGATTTACCTGGCTTTTTTGATCCCAGCTTGGGAGACGAAAAAATATTGCGCATTGAGTATACATTTGAGGATGTATTAAAAACCGTCAATCTAAAGGATAATGAACCATTACGACTGCCAGGATAGAACGCATTGCAATTTGTAAAAATCTTCAGTTTTTGTTTAAAATTGTTTTTATAATTAATAGTAGCCGTAAAAAAGAAAATATATGATAGTCAATGAACTGGCTAGTTTTTCTAAATTGGCATCAGTTTCAGCAAAATGCTTGTAATTTCCTAAAAATCCTTGTTTTATTTTATACATACTACCATCGTATACGCAAAACTTGTAATACATTAGGGTAGTTTGATTTACAATTTAATTTAAATGTGCCGCCAATGGGCATATGCGCACGAGTCACCCTGTTGTTTTTCGCAATTCACAATCAGCTGTTGTAAGAGTGGTCCATATGGAATCGAACAACAATATTTGTAATTTTAAGTTGAAAAAGATGCAGTAGCATAATAATGGCATTCAAAATAGCAATCAACTTGATTAAGGAATGATGCAATCAATGGACCATGACCATATTTACAAAAGCGAATCTCATACGCTTCGTGGTCGGCTCAATATGTCTACTGCTGGTGCTGAACTTCTTGTGGACCTCAGAGTCGGACGTAGTCAGCGGTTCGTCGCTGAGCAAACTGAGGTAAGTGCGAGAAATGCATTCACTTAACACTTTTTGTACATACATACATATGTACGCATGTATACATATATAACTATGCTCTCATTATAGCATACGGCGTGTGCACAAGTATGCACACATCCACAGCCGAAGCAACAACGTAAGTGGCTTTGCCAGCGATAAGGGGGTCAACACGAATATTTCGGGGCAAAAGTTGCCTGCCGCTCCATTGGCGCTATCTAAAGAGCGCGACCAGCACATCGGTCGCAACTCAACCTCAACGACTGTGATTGCGATTGCAAACTTTACTTCCATTCCACAAGACTTATCGCACGCGCATCCGCAAGATTATACAAACAGCACACTCAAGCCGTATTTGCACCTTACACAAAACTGCACTGATCCCGATCCCAGAGATGGTAAGTGAAGTCAAATGTATATATATATATATATATATATGCAAGTGTAACACCAGTAAATGAATCTCTTATTTAGGTGGACCCATCACACCCAACACAACCCTTGAATCTCTTGATGTTATTGAGGCAGAGCTGGGACCTTTGCTGCGTCCTGGCGGCGCTTATCAGCCAACTGATTGCACTGCTCAACATCATGTCGCCATTGTCGTGCCCTTCCGCGACCGATACGCACACCTCTCGGTCTTCCTACGCAACATACATCCGTTCCTAATGAAACAGCGCATTGCTTATCGAATATTTATAATAGAGCAAACCAATGGGAAGCCTTTTAATCGTGCTGCCATGATGAATATTGGTTACTTGGAGGCCTTAAAGCTTTATAAGTGGGACTGTTTTATATTCCACGACGTCGATCTTTTACCTTTGGATGAACGCAATCTGTACAATTGTCCACGTCAGCCGCGGCACATGTCCGTTGCAATTGACACGCTGAACTTCAAGTAGGTTGCAGCCATTGATTTATTTATTAATTGATTGATTGGCTGATTTATTGCACTTGAGCAGGTTGCCTTATCGTTCAATATTTGGCGGAGTTTCTGCCATGACACGCCAGCATTTCCTGGCTGTAAATGGCTTTTCGAACTCCTTCTTTGGCTGGGGTGGCGAGGACGACGATATGTCTAACAGGTAGTGCGATTCATATTGATCATCAATAGACTATGTTATTAACTTCATTTTCGTTTCAGATTGAAACATGCCAACTTATTCATATCACGTTATCCAATAAATATAGCTCGCTATAAGATGTTGAAACATCAGAAGGAAAAAGCCAATCCAAAACGGTTTGCACTCTCCTTGCAACTCATTAAACCCTTGACCTTATTAGCTTTTTTATATTCTTTGCAGTTACGAAAATCTACAGAATGGCATCAGTAAGATTGAAATGGATGGCATCAACTCGATCAAATATGAGATTTACAGCATCAAGGATTTCCCTACTTTCACTTGGTACTTAGCTGAGCTAAAGAACTCCGAGCGAAAGAGTTAGCCAAATACAGTAAAAGTCTGTTTATGAAAGGAAAACAACTAAAAGAAAGGCAAAAATTTGCAGAATGGGAATCTCAATTTCGTACAATATTTACTTATGTATGTACAAATGACAGAATTACTTTTTCGAAGTAGCCCTAAATTATCTCGAATAATAGACACACAAATATTGTGTACGTAGCATGTCCAGTCAATATAGAAATACCATATGTACTTCAGTAGTGCAGCTAGCCCCATTTAATATATTCTATATATTCTAATGGATATGTAGATTTTGTTGATTTTTGTTTCTTCCTCATAATTTTTTACTACAAATCTCTCTTTAAAGCAAAAAAAAAAAGACAAAAAAAATTCTACACCAATTCCTACAAGGTGAAATGTAGATATTACTTTTGTGATATACAAATTGTTATTTGATCAAAAAATGATAATTAAATGAAAAATGAAAATTCTCGTATCTTCGGTAAACCGAATCGGACTTATACCCTTGCAGACGGCCCTTAGAGTTTGTCCGATATACTCTATATTTAGGTATTCAATATCAACTTTTCTGACTGACTAATGATCCAAGAACAGCTATTTAGTAATCCGATCCAACTAGCAGCAGCAGCCAGCAGCGCGTGTTGCTGCTCGGTTTGAAATGACTCTTAAATTATATCAAACTCTGCAAGGGTGTTTATTATTATCTACCATACTTTAATATACAATACCAAATGTAAAACTTATTATAAAATACATTTTACTATACCAGAATAAAACTTTTACTATATTATCAATCCAGAGTTTGTTTTACCTTTAGACGAATTATCTATGTATAATAATGCGGGCATATAATAATCCGTCATTTATAAAATACTATATAAACCCATTAGTCCAATTACAAATTTCAACTAATCGCTTCGTTGGTTAGATTTCGTTTTTATTTAGGTTACTTTGTTGTTTCATTTTGTGTGCGTACGTGTATTAAAAAATATTTATGGCTTCGTAACGACTATGTTACCATTTAAGTCTGGGTTATGTTTATTACTTTGTGGCACGGCTAAGTGGCCGCTAATGATTAGTAGATAATATTCGATGGCGGGGGCGGGGCGAGGGCGGGAAAACACGTATATAAGTATGGCGAGTGGGGAATTCAATTCCGTGGCTCATTTATTAGTTTGGTATGCAAAATACAGTTAAAACAATTGGCTTTCAAATAAAAACTTAAAATTATGCAGACCTTTTGAGGTCTGACCGGGGTTTTCACTGGTCACGTTGTAAAATATAAATGCTTTTTGGGTTTCTCTTTTGGATAGTGAGCAAATAATTTTCCATATTTTTCGGAGCAAACTAGGTTAGGGGTAACTACTATCAAATGGTAGTCAATTGGCCTGGACACGTATAATATATATATATAAATATATACAAATAGTCAATATAATAGATATCAATTTGGTCAACAAAATTACAACAATTAGAGCATCCAGATGAGAGGCAAAACCCAATAAGTGGTTAGGTAAACGAACATATATATATAAACAACGACAAGCTGTACGCGGGGGGAGGGCAGGAATTAGCGTTAGACTTATTAACGGCAATATTAGAGAATCCTATATACAATTGTAAGCGCTGCGATCCGCTGCGCTGTTCACATTATGGAGCAGGGCATGGCACAGCAGAGGGGCAGGCAGAGGGGCACAACAGCGCCACCAGACTTGGTTTTCGTCTTTGACTTCGAGCCCGATTCGTACTCGTACATGCCAGATCCCTTGGCCCAGCGACCCTGTTAAGGAGAATGGAATTTAGGTAACCCGGAACTAAACCGAATTCTTTAACAAATGCAAAGACTTACACCACCCGCAGAGCCTGCGTGCATCTCTTCGCGCCTGGTTATGATTGTGTCATGACCAGGCGGATAGTAGACCTCCTTGCCAGCCTTGTTGACAGAGGGCACGTGTTGCTGCTGTGGCGATGCGACGGCTGTCTCAATCTCGCGCTTGCGAACCGGCGTCTCAATATCCACGCGGTCCACGTGATCCGTCTACGGAAAACAAAGATATGAGCATTTGGCTAAAATCTTTGCCATTGTTTACTCACAGTGCCGAAGGATTGCATTAGATCGTCCACACGCTGTGGCGGATTGCCATTGCCCACGGGATACTCGACGCCGTCCACGGGGAAGGGCGAGGGCGAGCCATAGTCTGGGCCCGGTCCTCGGCGTGTGTTTGTGTTCGTTGTGGAAGAGTATTTATATGAATAGGTGGTATTATTCGGTGGATAGCCATTGCCGGTCTGTGGCTGCGGATAGTTGGAGCTGGGCAGCTGCTTGAGTGGTGCCGGATGTGCTGGCTCCGCTGGGTATGGTACGCCACCGTTGGGCGGGCCGTGTATGGTATTGACGGTATTTGAGGTCTCGGTCTCCTTGAAATAGTAGCGATTGGTGCCACCCGGCGGCAGCTGGCCAGGCTGACCGGGACTGTGGGGCGAGCCGTAGTTGGGGCTATGGGCCGGGCTGTGCGGATAGCGCAGGTCGTTCACCGTATTCACATTATCCGTCTTGTGTATATTGTAGATGACGGTGCGGCTGGAGTTGGGCGGCACACCACTCGGGCTGACCGCTGGTCCCAGCGGCAGCTGGCGAGGCTGCGGGCTCAAGCCGCGCGTGGTCGTCTCCTTGTGCTCGCGAATCTCATACGACTGATTGCTCACCAGCGGCCGATCGTTGGGCCTGTTGAGCGTGGAGTAGCTCTCCGTGTTATAGACGACCGTCTGGGGCACATGAGACGGCGATAGCTGCGTATAGTTCTGGCTGCTGTTGAGTGTTTCGTGGTGTTTGTAGCTGCTGCTCAGCGTGTTGTTGTTGCTGGTGCGATTGATGGTGCTTGTGGCGCTGCCGGGACCAGTCGACGGTATCTCATAGGTGTAGGTGCGCACCGTGGTGGTCACCTTGGTGCCAGGCACCGGCAAGATGCCATCGCCCAATGCAATGTCCTGCAGCTCTTTGTCTATGTCAACATTGCTGGTCAGCGTCTGAGTGGTGCTCACGGTGCTCGGCACCAGCTCCACATTGTTGTTGATCGTGCGATTGCTCTCATAGATTTTGGTCTTGCTCGCATACTGACCACCGGGTGAGTGGGCTGAAAGAGGATAAGAAGTTACTCAACTGATATAAAAAGGATTTCTCATGGGTCTTACCTAGCGTGTAGGGCTTCTCGCTGGTCTGGAACTCGTCACGCTTTAAGTTATCCTGAAAGCTGGAGTACTTGGCCGTGGACTGCAGTGTGCTGTAGTCGGTTGGATTAAAGGTTTCGACATCATCATTGATGGGCTGCTGGCCACCCGAATGTTTCGTGGTCTTGATAACACGCGTTGTCTTCGTGATAGTGCCTGCTGGATCAGTGCGTTCACTGCAAGAGGAAAATAAATAATCAAATGTGAAAGATTTTCTCTAAATAAATTACAAAAATTCTAAATATATTTATTTATGCATAATATTTAATCAATATAAT